CACCACACCACGAAGTGGTGGTGAACCCATATTGCTTTTTCTGATGTTTCTTCTCCTCCTCCTTCTCCTCCTGCCATATCTTTAAATGGATTCAGCTTCTTCATTTTAGGGCCTAAGGTCCTGAAATTTGGTATGGAGGTACAGTGGGCAAATACCCCTAGGCGTTTTTTAAATTTTTGTGATACAGGCTTTTAGAATGGTTTTATTTGAGTTTTTGGCTGTGTTATAGCAAATGTATTACTGTGTTAGTGTGCCGTGTTTACCACGTCTGGGCATGAGTCATCACAATGGAATGCAGGGCATCAACCAATAGGCATGCAGCTTTCCTCTATTCTTCTTGCTGATTGGCTGTTGGGATTTAACTTGATTAACACCTGCACAGAGCATTTCCACCTGCACAGAGCATTTCTTGCTGATTGGCTGTTGGGATTTAACTTGATTAAAACCTGCACAGAGCATTTCCATACTGACAGTATGTCTGTATTCAAGTGTTTTGGTAGGTATTTCAAGCTTTCCTGCTCCAGCATTGGAATGCGGGGCATGAACGTTTTTTTTATTTTGAAAATCAACAGTTTGCATTATGCAATTAAAAATCCTAACCAATAAAGTAGGGAATAGCTATCCAACTGTTGTTTTAGTTGTATGTTACTTCATATTATAGTTATATCAATGTAAATCATTGTTTTCCCTTGTGTTTCTCATTCTTTCCCTGCCATGTCGTAAAATGTGGTGAACCCATCGCTGTATTTGCTCCAAAGCAAATATTGGCCTTTCTAGTTTTGTCTTTTACTTTGATGCAGTGAAGTTTTTTTTTCATTCTTTTTATATGTGATGGTGGATGTGTATATGTGATGTTCCCACTGAATTTAAATCATTTTTCTAAGTAATTTCAGTGAAATATGAATAATGCTGTGATAGCTGGCACTAAATTTAGGCAATACATGTATCGTTTTTTTTTTTGTTTCGGTCAAGGTTTAATTGATGTCAAACTTAAAAATGTAGAAATCTTGTTTTTGTCTTGTTTTGTTTCGCCCTGTCGCATTAGATTTAGAGTCTGCAGAGGATGCCATCCATTAAATTTATTTCCTGTGGCCTAAAGTCCAGAAAAGACCAGTGTTAAAGTCAAATCAATGTTGTTCATATATATTTATACAGGGGGCCTGGGAATGACAGTCGCTTCGCTTGGATTTGCAGTGGCAAGTGTGGCAAAAAAGGAAAACGCCCCCAACATACCAAACCAGAACGACATGAAGAAAATGGTAGGAAAAATGACAGACATCATTTTTTTATGCATCAAAACATAAAGACATAACAAGGACAGTGTGACGCTGCACTCAAGTTAACAACTTATATTAACAGCGCCACACACGAAAAAGGTACAATTAACGTTTAAATATACAAAGTTGACATGTGCGCCGTAGTCCCACTACCCCAAGACATTAAAATATTAAATTAAATGCTAACAGAGCTATTTGAAACAGAGATATTTTGCAATTGATTAGAATTCCATCCAAGTATGTACACCTAAGCGGTTCTTCCAACATAACAAAACATCAGCTTTTTTTAAAATCCTTTTCATTCTTATACACTAATCATATTTAATTATAACGATATGGTAATAACAAATATAATACATTCAATTATGGTCGGTCACATTCAACCAACTACCGTCCAACGGGCTCCGTTAAACGGACGATCGACTAACTGATGAAAACTGTGAACTTGACATGTAACATTTTCAAAGCAATGTTTACCTTCGCATATGGTCTGCTGTGTTAATTCTTACTCAAAGACATGCATATTTATATATGGTGATAAGTTTAAGAGAGAGAGAGAGAGAGCAAAAACAATACGTGTTTTCTTTAGGCCACACCAATTTAATTTCTTGGTTAACGGATTCGCCGCTTCATTTTTTTCTGATTTGCAAATAAAAATAAAAATTCAGAATCAACACTACTGCAAAATGCTCATATTTTGCCCTGAACAGTTGAAAACAGTCCTTTTCTTACTACTTGTTACATTCATTCCATCTTTCAATGCAGTAGTATCATTAAAAGTTCAAAATTTATTGTTTAAATTTTGAACCAGCCTGGTGTGTTGACTTCATGGCTCCTATCGTACCATTTTGGGCCATAATAGGATGCCTAGGCCTGTTTTTATTTTTTTTTTCGCCCGGCCGCCCGCTCCATTATTTTTCTAGAAAAATCCGTTAACCAAGAAATTAAATTGGTGTGGCCTTAGGCAAACATACTTAAATTGTATCAGCCAGGGGGATGGTTAATGAGCTTATTCTCGGTTATCAAATTGTAGATATCTATGCTGTTATTCTAGCTTGGCAATCGTTGGAAAGTGAATTATAATATTTGAAATGTATTTTTCTCTGTAGAAAAGCATTCCATTTTGTCATATCTTCACTTCTACTGCTGTCTGGGCCTACGTTCTGATACTAGTAGCGTCTTACATTTTTGAGCCGAACATCCTACCACTGTATTTCGAGCAAAGCTTTGGGGTAAAGATCCAACTGGTAAGTCACATTATTATTATACATACGTAGTTAATATAGTACAAGCCTACCACTATATAGAGTTCCTAATTTAAATAGGAGGTTCATAGCGGTTTAACAAACATGCATTACACATGTTTGTGTAAATATGGTGACATGACAGCAGTGTCTTTTACTCTGAAAGTCAGTTTTATAGACTAAGTCTTCTTTGTATTGTTCATGTAGGTTGGAGTCCTCGCTGGAATTCCTACTCTGATATTCGGAGCGTTGGAGCCGCTGTTCGCTCTACTTGGAAATATGCTGTGCAAGTCTGTTTCAACAACAGTCGCACGTAAAGCGATGGCTGTTACAGGTGTGTTAACATTTTACATCTACTGACTAGTCCATTTCACTAGAGCCAGGTGCTAGGGTAAAAACATCAGTTGCGACATTTTAAACTAAAATTCCTAATGCAAATGTGGTCGATTTTCAAAACGGGAACTGTTTGAAGCTGCCGGCCATCTTGTATTGCATCTAGGACGGAAGTATCGTATTGGGTGGCGCTTGTTTGAGTGTTGTTTGTTTCTGGTTCTGGGACTGAGCGGATATTGTGCTTCACTTGATTGACAGGATTTTTGACCCAGTAAGCATTCGATTTAATGATGTGGTCTCAATGAATGAACGAAACATGCTTTAATGGTAGATCATTGGCAATTACTCATGTAATTGTGTAATTGATAGACATGATCTGTATATACGTTTCTGAAGTATGAAAGCAACTGATTATTTGTTATATATTCTGTATAACTGAACTTATGTATCAACTCAAACTGGTACACTTTGTTCTAACACCTAGAAGTCTATTTCGTCTAATCTCCAAGCAGATCTTTCGGTGGCAAGACAGTATCCATTGGCTAGAAGAGTGTCCATTAGCCTTCGGTGGCTAATGGACACTCCTCTGGCCAATGGATACTGTCTTGCCACTGAAAGATCTGCTTGGAGATTATATTTCGTCAGCTGATTTCAAAATTCCTCAAATGAGATCTCCCTCTTTATTCAGGTTGTATGTGCGTTTCTGGCTGCCTTTTTGTGGCAGCCTTTACCTCCAACTCTCTCGTGGCAGGCTGTTTTGTCGCCGTAGGTTTTGGAAGTTCTGCAGCACGGGCGGCAGGTGAGTTCTTTACCTCCAGGTACCATAGTGTTGAATTGAATGGGGTTGTTTGTATGATTCTAATTTTTTTATGCTATTAAGTAGACAACTAAACGCATGGACACATCTGGGAGTAGCACTGAAAAAAACGTTTTATTCGCGCATAAACATATTTCATCTGTCAATAAACAGACAATCTTAAAACCTTTTACCCAGAAAATACGAATGCTTTGACCATTAACCCTCAACAGTACACCTTCCCGGACTGATTAATCTGTACACCTGGGGTCCGCGCGGACCCCAGAACAGTTTTTTGCTAATTTTTAGAAATGATCAACATGCTACCAGCTCAATTGTTTTGCAAACTGATTACACCAAAGTTATTAAAATTTAATTCTATTACTACACCATTCTCTGAAAACTTGGTAGACATACGATGAGTGCATAAAAACATATAAAAACGGAAATAAGGTAATGTATAAGAACGCCAGTGTATCCATTATGATCGAAAGCCGACTGGGGTCCGCGCGGACCCCAAAACAAAATCAGATATAATTTTTTTATAAATGGTAGAAACGGAGTTTTCTGCACTGTATTGAGGGACAACTTTGTGGGTGACAATTACCTAAAATTTCAGAAAAAAAAAGATATTACAGAATATATACTGCTGGGGTCTGCGCGGACCCCAGGTGTACTGTTTAGGGTTAAGATATTAATATATTACCATCATGTTATCATTGAAATGGCAATATATGGACTTGTTTGCTATCTACAGTTTCTGATGCCAACCCGTTTGACATTGCGCATCAATACGCCAGCGTGCTAACAGGGCTCAGCCGGGTTCTGTCTCGTGTTGTTGGCCTGACATTCCCACTGCTGGTGACAGCACTGACCAAGAATAAGGTACGTATCTATATCATAAATCATAGACACGCCTTCTGAATATTTATTACTATATATTATATAATATATAACGTTGCTCTGCAAGATCAAGAGTCTATTGTATCTGTCATCGTTTTCTATTTAGTCCATCAGTCAAGAGAAAATTTCATGCTGACAGTTTCTTCGCCAGAACCACTTTACTGTGGAACAAGCTTCCCCGTGAATGTTTCACCGCTAATTACAACCTCCAACGGTTTAAATCAAGGGTGAACAAATATCTGACCACGCAGTCATCACTGTAACCCAAAACATGTAAGTGGCTCTCACGAGCCTTGTTTTGAGGTGAATTCTGAAGTAAATAAAAAAAAATTACAGAAATCTGTAAATGTAAAGCTGCAATGGACTTTGATGCAATCTGTTTAAAGTCTCTTTCGTTTACAGTCGAGACAGGAGTGGTCCCGAGTTCTGTTGATTAAGGCCTGTGTGTTTGCTGCCGCCGCCGTGTTCTATGGAGTCTTCGGGAGCGGGGAAGAGCAGTCCTGGGCCGTGGCGGTTTCGCACGATCAAAATGAAGTCATTGAAGTTGACGAAATTCAACGAGGCGGTAGCAAAAATGACAAAGTCAATGATGAAAAACGACCACTAGTCATAAAATGATAATAAATGTAATACTTAACTGTTACCTAAATTACGGAAATTGCTTCTGGGTGTGAGGATTATTCTATTACATAAAAGTAAAAAAAAATGTACACGTTTAGATGTATAATTAGCTCATGGCCCAAGCAGGTTTCAAAAGTAGGACGATGATACAATGGTATTGGTCAATTGTGTTAATCTGGCATGCAATCTCTGTCTTATAAATGTGCCGATGTGTTATAGTGAGTTGATGCCGTCAACCAGTGTTTGCAGTAATTCGACCTCGGTACGACCCAGTCGCTGGTGGTTGGACAAGTCATAAACTCCTCCTTTAGCCTCAGAGGTTTCTGAAATTAAAAAAAAAAAGGAAAAATCTGGAAACAAAGCAACGAATAGATCAATTAATCAATCAAATTATTAATCGAATAACAAGCATACCACAGCAATAACCAAGCAATCAACTGCAATCCACCAACCCTAACCTAACCAACAAATGAACCAACGGTGAACAACCAATCGACATACAAACTGACCGAACAGTCAATGAAATGACTAATACGTAGTCCTATTACGTTTATGTACAAGTGCCGGATATACCGGGAAGAGCAGCCCTGGGCCACTGACCGTTTACAGGGTCAAGATGGCGGCGTCAAGCAAAACCAAGATGGCGATTTTAATGATAGAATGCGGCCAAGATTCAACAGAATCAACATGGCTGTGAAATGGCAACTACATATAGAACGTCAAAATAACAGCCTACATAATCATGAGATCATGTATTATATAACTGTAGCATGTTTGCTGTGCATACAGCATTCACGAGTTTCCCATCCCAAGGATGACGTTTTTGTGTTCTTTTCAATATGGAACATGTGGTTTATAACGTTACAGCATCAGTATAGCGTTATTAATTACGATTATCATGTTACAAACCACATATTCCAAACATTTCATTCTCTATTTCTTGTCAGACTCAACCCATAGTAATTTAATTAACGTTGAGCATAAAATGCATCGACACCTCAAAAAACACTTAAAAACAAGCTGTTAAACATCACCAGGATCATTCCGATGCCTTCCTGTCCTATGCAAATGAGGTTTAGACCCCTGTTTTCGCAATGCATTCTGGGGAAGGGAACCTCGTGAATTGTCCTGAAACTGATGCCTTCCCTACCTGTGTGTCTACCTTTTGTATTTCTTTTGCAAAACTAATTCACTTATTTGCAACAATAATACTATGCAGACGATGTTTAGGTTTAGTGAATACTTTCATGCCCCATCTAACAGCATGTTGACCAACGAAGACGGCAAATTATATTCACATTAGGTACACTTATACCTTTGACATCGTCAGGCAGTCACCAGAGGTCTACGATGAAAGAGCATGTTGGTAGGCGACGCCTGGCGTCAAATGTGAAAACTACACTTTTATCAACATCAACCACATTGTGGTGATCTTGTTTTATCTTATCTATTGTCCAATGGCATTGGTACTAAAGCCTGTTGACAATGGGATCTGCTATCGTATTATATTGAATGGATGAGAAATTAGGTTTCCTAAAGCTCCCGCTTTTTGTAGACGTGGATGTAGATAAAGCATATCAGGGGATTAGGGTTGGATACGAAAGAAATATTTGTGCAAGGTGATGTTATTGCAATATGTAATGATTGATATAGTACAGAATCATGTAGGTGGAGCATAACAATACGTTCATTCGAATTCACAGTATACATCATTTTATGTGTTTAGGGGACTTAATTGGGCCACAGCAAGTTAATTTTATGGATGACATCCTCCACAGACTCCAAATCTAATGATAACAGGCGAAAAAAAAACAAGGCGGGCCAAAAAAAAAGATTCCTACATTTTAAAATTTGGATTTAACCATTGTACACATGGTTTTTATTTCACCCTTTGTGATGGCAGCCAAGCACGGTATTTCTCAAGGCTTCTGATAGTGGCTGTTCCACTATAATTAGTTATTTTGCACTGAAAGCTCCTCCTATGTCCTCCCCTCCCACTGGGAAAAGTTGAACACATTAAAAAAATCGAAATTATTTTTTTAAATTTTTATTATTCATTCACAAAATAACAAATAAACCATAAAATAAAATAAAAATAACGCAAAAGATAACACATATACCACGGATCCAAATACAAAGGTACAACAGAATAAACAAACAAAAGAAATAAACAAAATAATTCCAACCAACTAAAGCTATAACACAGGAGAAAAAAAACGTATGAATTTTAACAACTCTTAAATGAACTAAATACAGATGAAATAATGATATAAAGAGAAACATATGATAATCAACATAATGCATATTCAACACAATAATTGAAACTAAAAGGGCTTAAAACAAACAGGAATGTAATAAAAATAACATTTATGCATAGTTACGCCCAAGAACATGACCACTGTAAAACAACAGAATCTCCCAACCATTGTGTTCGTACCGTCCATTCAGACCCGATCCATTCTCCACTATAATTAGTTATTTTGCACTGAAAGCTCCTCCTGTGTCCTCCCCACCCACTGGGAAAAGTTGAACACATTGAAAAATCGAAATTTAATTTTCTTTGCAAGAAATCAATTTTCCGATAACTACCTTAAGTTTGTAATCAAATAAAGCAAGAAATCACCAAGTAGGATAAAGACGTTAATCTTTACATCTGTTTCTTGGGCAGAATACCACGTAGTAGAGCCTGGCTGATGTCTTTTCTTGCTTGAGGCATCTGGGTTCCTTTTCCGGTCATGATAAGAAAGTTGACGTTGTTCTGATTGACCTCTAGGTGGATGTCATCTTCAAAATAACCCCAGCACCACTACAATTACTCTCCAAGCACCCAGTTTGGTGGGGAAAAATATTCAGTGCAAAAGAGAAACCCCGATAAAAAAGCCTAAAAACATGCTAAAAATACCCCCAAAACCCAAACCTCTGCTTGGAAAAATTCAGTGCAAAAGAGAAACCCCGATAAAAAAGCCTAAAACACGCTAAAATACCCCCAAAACCCAAACCTCTGCTTGGAGAGTCCACTACAATCTGATTTGTTTGTTTTCATTGTTTTATCAATCATTTGTTTAATCGTTAATTTTTATATTAATTATCTAATCAGTTTTTTCTGCAACAGCGACCTTAATTATAAGACTTTTGTTTAATTTTATTTTCGTAGATGTAAAAACTAGTTTACACACTTCAGTTATTATATCTGTGTCTTGATTTTGTTTAATTAATCAATTTTTTCACTGTTTAATTTTAATGTTTGATTTAAATATGTATTGTCATGTATCATTATGATAGTTACCTTTGTTTGGGGTAGGCCCTTTAAAAACCACCTAGGTTTCTGGCCTACCCAGCATATACTCTTATTGTTATTGTTTGATTATGTAATTTTTATACGTGCAAATAATAAATAAACAAACAAATATCTAAATTTGTCAACGAGTTGAGGCAGGAATGCTGCAACAACGCTCCATGCTTTAGTATCATTCTTTTTTTTTTTTAACATTTCCTAATTTCCAAAATAAAATTGATGTTCACAAACTTGATGATGCTGTCGTCAATAGACCATTGTTAAGTACTTTGGTATGGTACGATGGAGACCAGTAATGTTAATAAAGTACACGTTAGGATATTGGTTTCTAATAACCTAATCTAAGGAAGCAATCGGGAAGATGTTAAAATCATCGCAAAGAGCATTGGGTGCTCAATGTGATTTCGGTGGATTTGCGTTACGTAGGCCACAACAAGTAAATATCATGGATGACATCCTTCGCAGACTCCAAATCTAATGCACTATATATAGGGCAAAAAAACATGGCAGCCAAAAAAGCGATTCCTACATTATCAGATTTAGACATCATAAACCTTGTTGAACCAGAAATTATACATATAGTGTGTGCCAACTATTACAACCTCTAATTGTCACTTAAACAAGTTTGAAGATGAACAACTTTGAAAAATGAGTTTTCAATTATTGTACAAATGCATGGTTTTGATTCAGTGGGAACATCGCATAAGTCATAAACACACTTTCAGTCACCGTAACATATATGAAATGAACGAAATACTTCACTGCAGTAATTTATTAGTAGTAAATGACAAAACAATTAATTAGAGCCTCCTCTCTTCATATTTATTTGCCCTCCACGTTCCGGCATGGCAACGGACATCTTTGCCAATTTTCGGCATGTTGACCACTGTTAGAGAGCATTTTTTTCCAAAATCGGGCTAAAAATTAATGCGCGCTAGTGTCATCCATAAAAATTACTTTCTGTGGCCTTATGCTAGTGAAGTTTGCCTGGTGTCAGCAAAACAGCAGAAGTACAATCTGCACGGCCCGATGATTGACAGTGTTGATGTTGATGACATCTGGAAGACGTCAGTGATGATTGGCTGAGTGATAAAGATGGTGTGCATTTCTCATTATATCAGCAAAAGTACAATCTGCACGACCTGATAATTGGCAGTGTTGATGTTGATGACATCTGGAAGGCGTCCGTCATGATTGGCTAAGTGATTAAGATGGTGTTGATTTCTCATTATATCAGCAAAAGTACAATCTGCACGACCTGATGATTGGCAGTGTTGATGTTGATGACATCTGGAAGACGTTAGTGATGATTGGTTGAGTGATAAAGATGGTGTTGATTTCTCATTATATCAGCAAAAGTACAATCTTCACGACCTGATGATTGGCAGTGTTGATGTTAATGACATCTGGAAGGCGTCCGTCATGATTGGCTGAGTGATTAAGATGGTGTTGATTTCTCATTATCGTGCAATCAGCGCTAATCAGGAAGCGTGGTTTTTCCATTCTCATGTGATTAACCCGACCTGACATCTCATATGTCTTTGTAGTCAACCGGATTCTCCTCATCTGTCATTGATGCTGGTAATGAGGAAATCACTTACTACAGATACTTACTACAGACACTCGCTAAAACTTCTGTTTGTTAACACATTTAACGCGATAGAGGAACGTGGGGTCGTGTAAACCAACGGCAGCGTGCGCG